AACTTCTGAGTGATGGAATTTGCCTGACCTTACTTTGGAGTCTATACTTTTGTATAAATGATTGACTTCTTGATGCCTCTGATTATCCTCTTTGTTAACTAACCAACAGTTTTTCCACCCTTTGTTGCTGAGTATCTCCAAAGCATTTTCCATTGCTGGATGGACCATCAATGCGTCTAAAGACTATCCTATCACTCGAAAGATTAAGGAAATGTTGGATATTGGGCCGGAGATTTGTCAAAACTGTATCATTAAGAAAAATTCCTATGCCACTTCTCAGTGAGAATTTTGTAAATACATAGCATTCTATTATATATATAGAGAGAGATGTAGCTATTTGAGAGTAATTTTCTGTTGTGTTAGTTTATGTCAAAGGGTATTAGATATGTATATTTTATTTCTTGTAGTTTTTTATTGTTATTATATTAACAAGTATCTTTCTGTGTAAAAGGTTATGAGTTTCGTTGTTTTCAAAGAGTGTTTTTAGTGTGAAAGTTTTTTTTCGCTCTTCATTTTCCTTCTTTTATATATCCTCATTAAAGAGTTTGGTGGTTATTACTGATGTAGCTAGAATATTTAATTTTTATGTACTTATGCATATATTTTAGACTAACCACTTCCAAATTAAATAGGATATATTTGTTGAAGAGTTTTATTCTGTTTTGTACTTTTTGTCTTGTGTGCATGTTCTGCAAGCCTACCTCTTGTAAGAGAGATGGGTAATCTTTGTTAAAGTGTTTTTGATTTTTCTGTACTTTTCATTTATTCTATTTATTCATTTAGTCTATTAGACTATACCTTTCTAAGGGGAAGGAGTTAGGTAATATTTGTAAAAGATTTCTTTCAATATGTCATTTCTATGTTAAACGGTTTTATGTTCATGCATGTATTTATTTATTGCTTGTTCTTTGTTAAATGGTATTGTTACGCCTCTGGTCGTTCGTTTGTTAATTTTCCGTAAAAATTATTTCCAAAGAAACTTTAGCGATACAAGTCCTTTCTTAAATAAAACTAGGTTATTCTTTCTCAATACAACTTTGCAATACACTTAACTTCCACAGTCACGCTATAACTTAAACAAACGCTATAATTCACAACGTACGATTCACGCGCTTGACTCAATTGTCCATCTCTATCTCTGTCTGCAATTCAATTCCAATTGATTAGTCTCACGTTAACAGGCGCACTTATATACAGGAATAGAGGGCGCCTAGCACATACGGGATTATTCATGATGTTCCCTGATCCTTCGAGAATATCATGACGTGTTACCACAGTCACATGACTACCGCTGTCATAACACTGCCCCTTCCTTAGTATTGTTCATCCCGAATAATAGCCACTTACATTAAACAAATAAACAATTAACAATAATTAATTAAATGTACAGAGATAACAGCAGTTGTTGGAGGAAAAAGAAAAGAAACAAGAAGTACGAGAAAAGAAACAAGAAGAGAGATTACAGCAGTGGCAACTGGAACAAGAAAGGAAACAAGAGGTACAAATAGAAAATATTAGTAAATTTCAAAGTGAATTAAATACATTAAAGAACGATTTACTATCTTTTACACGGGGAGGATATATATTAGCCATGCACTTAATCAGCCCCAGACAACAGGAAGCCCCTTCCAGACCCCCACAGCTAAACCATAATGCAGACATCTCCAGTCCTGCCAGAAGTCACAATCCAGACATGAGTGTCAGCAATAGGGGTGATCTAGTACGAAGGAAGCCACAGGAATTCGATCGGAAGGCACCATGGGAAGAATATAGAACACAATTTGAGCTCCTGGCAGAGATGAATGGATGGACAGAGGAGCAGAAAGCAGTATATCTGGCAACGACCTTGAAGGGACAACCACTGGAAATACTTGGACAGTAGTCAGCAGACGACTGGCACAACTATAGAGCACTGGTAGCGGCTCTAGAACTCAGGTATGGAACTGAAAATCAGTCCGAAGTCTACAGGGCTAGGTTTAGGACGAGAGTCCGTGCTAAAGGAGAGACCCTGCAAGAGCTGGCACAGGACTAGGAATGTATGGCACACAAGGCCTACCCAACTGCACCACCCAATCTCCTCAAGTTGTAGCTGAGGGATCAGTTTGTAGATGCCTCGGCCAGTCCACAACTGAAGATACGAGTAAAGCAAGCACACTCCTCTACTATGCAATGGCCAGAATTTGAATCCTATGTTAAGTCCAGCACAGAGGTAACAAACCTGGGCACAAGCGAGCTCAATGCTGGCAACTTCAACACAGGAGTGATTCCACAGCAGGAAAGGTAGCTACCCAGAAAGGTTGTTGGAACTGTGGAGAGCAAGGACATATGAGGAGCCAGTGTAAGAAGAATAACACAAACAAGTCAGCCTTAAGATGGACGCCTACCAACCCCAGTCGTGAAAGTCCCAACAGCTAGGTGTAAAATGCCAAGCACATATAGTGTCTATGTGATAGGAGAGCTGGATGGCCAAAGGTGCAACTTTGTCATAGATTCTGTATCTCAGCAAACCCTTGTGAGGATCAAGGTGCTGGATCACAAAGAAGTACCAGAAGCCATACAGAAGCTCTGTGGTGTGACATGACATTCTGCAAGGTTGTGGGGACCAGTGTGGGTAACTATTGAGCTCATAGGCATGAAGGACAGGCACAAAGTATACTTAGATAATTTAATAATTGGAAATACATATCCATAATTTTATTTTTTTATAATTAAAGAAGTATAAACTTTAAG